ATATTTCACAGATGGTGGAAATTAATTAATTATTTCATATTTCAAGCTGTCTAGTAATCGTTGTTCAAATAGAAATCAGAAGTCAAAATAATTTCTTGTTTCATGGTATTCTTGATGACACTTATTTTTCTTAGCATTGTGGCTCTGCTTTTACCCATTAAATTTGATTAAAATTAGTTTTGTTCTAGAAGGCAAAATTTACTACAGAGCAACACCTCTTTCTTTTAAAAAAGCCAAACCAAAATCTCCTCCAACTTTTCCTCTTTTTCTCAATCTGCTCAGCCTCTGAAATTGATGAGATAGACAGCTGGAATTTGGCTTAGAAATTCCTCTCCACTTTCAGAGTTTCAGTGTAGGCAGTTTGTTTCACTATGACTGAGCAAGGAGTCTTTGGAAATTTAATATTGTGAGTGTGAAAATACAAAAGGTTTCTGTTGTTTTGTTTTGGTTTTAACCCAGTCTGGTAGAATTAAGTTCTTCATTACTCTATTTGTCATCAACTAAAGTAGAATTTTAACTCCTTCTTTCTACAAGTGACCTGAATCCCTTAATTTCTCTGGACAGTTCATCCCTCACATCACCCTTCTCAAATCTATTTTGATGTGAGAATAAGAAAAGGAGAGAATCTTCTTCTGAGCTCTCATTTAAAGACCGGATCATATGAGGGCTTTATAGGGTCCTTAAAACTGTTACCATGGAGGAAAAGTGCACACTGTAACACTTGGTATCTCATCTAAATGGAGGGTGTTGCAGCCTGCTGCAATATCTGAGGGAGTTTTTTACACCACACTCTACCTACTCTCTGTTGCTATTGAATTACTCTGACTATTCAGTAAGATCAAGTGCTCATTGCAAACTGGTTTGTCTTTGAAGCTGATCCAGCTGTCCCAGTTTCTGTCATCTATGAATGTGTCCTATAGTGATATGTCCTATGGTTTCATGTCCTCAAAATATCCTCTAACTTTGTTTCTTATATTTCAAGCTGAATGGGAAAAACCTTTCGATCCAAAATACACTAAAAAGAGCAAATTCTTTGTGAATGGAAACAAGGCTGTTGAAGTCCCGATGATGTTTGGAATGGGGCTGTTCAAGCATGGCTATGATGAACAGCTGTCTTCCACTGTGGTGCAAATGGATTACAAAGGAGGTGCTTCAGCATTTTTTATTCTGCCTGATCAAGGAAGAATGAGGAAGCTGGAGAAAAGATTGTCTTGTGAACATATGTCAAGGTGGAGGACATTAGTGTCAAAAAGGTAAAAATCTGCAGTTTTTGGTTCAGATGGTAGGGAAGGAGACACATCAGTTTCAACCTGCTGGGCTTGACACAGAATGAGGATATTGTTTTTATTTCTGTTTTAATCTACAGAAGAATTTCCCTTCACCAAAGCTGAAATTTGGCTCTCTGTTGACCCTGTGTTTTCACACTCAGTACTGCACAAAGTGAAAGCCTTCACTGCTTTAGGATTTCTGCTGTTCCCACATTTTGTTTCCCATCTTCAACCCTCTGTAGCCCCCAGTTTTCTGTCTTATGTTTCTTCTTCTTTTTTTTTTTTTTTTTTTTTTGTGTGTGTGTCTTCTGCCTTCTCCTATTTACAAGTAAATTCCTACCACTTTCCTTCAGCCTTTTTTTTTTGTCTCTTGCTTCCTTTCTGCTTATTTGATTTACTAGTAATTGCACATTTCATACTGAAATGACAACTTTCATTTGGCAACTGTGGGGACAAAACTCAATGATAAGGGTCTAGAGCAGCTGACACATTGCAGAGCCACTATGTTCAGGCTCTGTGAAGACTTAGGAAGGCAAAATTCGAATAAGCTGCATTTGCTTCAAGGTAACTTTGAGACAAAAAGGCAGAAAGGTTATATCTTTTCTGAAAACAACTTTAGATTCCTTCTGTTTAGTGTCAGGTATATGTAGTAGTAGCCTTTGACAGGAGAAAGAACGTGTACAAGCAGAGGCACAACATGTTTACAGAATCAAGTCCTGCTGTTCCTGCATGAACCCAATGTGTCATGTTAGAGACCTTCACACCTACACATTTGAGAATCATGTTATAGATTATCAATTCTCAAGACAAAAATTGCATCCTAATACAGAAAACCAAAACCAGTGTCAAGCTCTTAAATCTGATTCACTGTTAAATCTCATCAAAAAGAATTATTTTCCATTAAAAAGACAGAAAAAATACTTAATTCTTTGTGCACCTTCATGCTTTCAAAACTTCTGGGAGCAGCTATGTGGTTGGTGACTAAAATCACTATAGGATGAATGAGATGGTGAATCAAGATACCTGTAAATCATTTTTGTCAAAGAAACAGAATTGCCTTTAAAATCAGCAAGAAAGACACTAAATAGAATTGAGGGGAATTGTATTTCCTCTTCCCATCCTCTCCCCTCCTTGCCAAATTGGAATAATCTACCTAAAAGCCATGAATGGGAGATGTAAAACTTATAAAAAGGCATCACTGTCAAAGATGAGCTTGTTTCATGCAGTTGCCTATTTTTCATCATGACAGTTCTCTCGTGCAAATTGATGACATGGACTCCTCCTTTTACCTCTAGTTTTCAAACCAACTGACTGCCTTTGTTGTTATTTTGATCTCTGGGTGGTCTTAATAAATGTCTTTGATGTAGGATATGATTTAAGGACTGTGGGCAAGCTGTTGTTCATCTCCATTTCTCTGTCTGCAAACTGATGTTGACACAAGGTGCAGAAGCATTGTGAGGAACATTTTTCATTACTCTTGACTGCTGAACAGGGGATTGTGCCGAAGTATTGCCTGTACAGGCAGCTAGGATCTGTTCAATGGCTGAATTGTAGAGAAAACATAACTTTTTCTTCTCTAAAATGTATCCCAGCACTTCTTACATAGTCACATTGTTGCCTTGTGCCTATGGCTTTCCCTTTCTTGCATGTTGAAAGCAAGTGGGGGCTTGTGAACGAGTGTCATTGTGTAATAGCAAGACAGATAATTCAATGATAGTTGCATCCTCACTTGAGATAGCAATCATCAGAGTCAGAAATTAGGCAGAAGTAAGAGATCAGCAACCTGCCATCAGTCCACTAGCACTCTCGTTTTTGGATACCAGTCAGATTTGACATTAGTTGTTGTGCTACCCTGAAGGTATGAGCCCTTTTCTTCCCACTTGTCCACTGGATGATTGCTCTTTGACCAGCTTTGTTAAGTGCTCCACATCTCCCTGACCTGGAACCCTGGGCAGTTGTCCTGGTTTCTCACCAAAAACCAGTACCTACTCTCAGCATTATCACTAACCTCTGACTCATTTTGCTGCTTCTGTCTGTAAACATTAGGTTTAACCTTTGAAAAAGAATTGTTATATGCTTACTGAAAGAGCAAGGAAGAAATGAGTCAGAAATAATGGAGCTTAGATTAATTTACAGAAAGCAGCAAACTAGTTAGTTGAATAAATCAGACATTGGACTTGACACAGAAAAATAATTATCTGTTGAGTAACTGAATTCTGTCAATATGCTTTTGTTTTTTACTTTGTCATCCATACAACCAGTACCGTATAACATCCTGTTCCTTTGGTGTATCTTTTTGTCTTCTCTGTCAAAACACACAGGACCAACATTTTTTTTTTTTTTTTCCAAAAGTAACCAGTGAACTTGGATGAGTTGCATTTTTTTTGTGCCCAGTCTGAGACATGTAAAATAATAACTTTTTTCACAAGGCGAATCCTCTGCATCCTCAGTAATGGGGCACAACTAAGGCTGTTCCAGCAGAAATCACAAAATATCACTAACTTTTGAAAACATCAGATGAAGATCCTTACAGGGGTACAGCTGTCCTGTTGTACTGAGTGATCGCTGAGTCAATCTGACTGTTCATGTGTTGGCTTACTGCAGACTGTGGGCTAGGAGCCTACAACCCTAGCCTCCCAACAGCCTCCCAACATTATTATACACATTCTTTTCTTCTCCCCAAATTAATATCACTATACATTTCTCATGTAGGCTAGAGAGAGCGTGCAAGCAAAATGTCTTTGGAGAGAAGTTAAAATAAGTTGTCCCTCTGGAGTCTGTATTATACTGTGATATCTGATCAAAAGTTTCACCATATTCTTGCACTTCTTTTCTGACAGCTCAGCAAATGTGTATCTTCCAAAATTCACTCTTTATGGGACATATAACCTAAAAAATATTTTATATAAAATGGGCATCGTGGACGTATTCACCGATAAAGCTGACCTGTCTGGGATCACTGGGCAGCCCCAGCACAGAATTTCCCAGGTAAGTTATGCTGATTTTGTTTTACGGCAGCGTTGTTACTGAAACTTATATCACCTTCTTTACAACTATTCATGATGCAAAACTAGTATAAAGAGGCTTTGCTTCACATGAAAAGGCAACTGTTGGCATACAGAATATTTCACACATGTTACTTGCACTATCAGTGCAATTGAGTTAGAGCAGATTACAAACCTGTAATTTTTTAATCTAGGAGGCCTTTTTGATCTCTGTAGGGCAACCTTATAAAACAGATGTGACCAGATCATTGTCTCTCCACACCATGGTACCCTCCTGTGTCATGTTGTTACAGTCATTATATTGCTGCTCTGTTAGTGTAGGTAGCTGTAGGATTTATCACTGCTTGTGTTTTATAGAGGGGAGAGGAAAAACAGTGCTTGCTTTTAAACTATCTGGGAGAAAGGCAAATGCAGTTATTAAAATCACTTCACTTCAAGCCTGTGAGCAATGAGTCTCATTAGTGCCAGGCCCAGGAAAAAGCTGTGGATAAGTCATGCTTCAATAAACCTTGAGTTTAAAGTGGCAAATCAGTGCAAATTTCATTGTCTAATTTGAACAGAATAACTACCCCCATGACTTCAGGTGGAAGTTGATGAATTAGAGTCTGTGAATGTCTTGATTTTGCAAGCTAATACTTGCACATTTCTCTGCTTCTAGCCCTGCATTTCTGACCCTTCTCCTTTGCTCCCATTTTTTTCCAAGACATTAAGGAACATGGGAAACATAATTTCAGGATTCTATTCATTGTGCTAATCTGCATGTTAATTCTTCATCTATATGAACTTGTAATAGACAACTAAATGTGATCTTCCTCTGTTACACTTTAGTCTAGCTCCACACATCTGCACGAGTGGGAACAGGCAGTAAGAAAAGAAACAAAGCAAATGTTTTCACTAGTAGGGACATGCCCCTACACTGGGAATGAGCTTTTCCTCTCTGGGGCTAAGAAAGCTATGCTGCAGGTAGATTGCTTATGGATTTTTTTTTCAACTTTGCCACGTTTGTGCAGTGGACTCACACCTGTCCATTTGCTGCTTGTTTCTTACCAAGAACTTCTTCAGGCACTTATAGCTCAAATTTTTATTTGGGTGGCTAGTTTTGTACCCCCTTGACTTGTAACATGTCTGTTTCTTCACAGGCTATTCATAAGGCTGTGGTAAAGGTGGATGAGACTGGCACCGAAGCAGCAGCTGCCACAGGCATGGAAATAGTTCCTATGTCCGTTCCAGCTACCATTACATTCAACAGGCCCTTCCTAATGATCATAACTGAGAAGAACAATATACTCTTCATGGGAAAAATTATGAATCCTCTGAAAAAAGATTAAGTTGCTGTTCATATTAGGTACGCAGTGATCACCACTGTTAAATCAAGTGTCTGACCTGACGAATATGGCATGGCTACAGAGGGATCTCCACTTCTTAAGTGATGTTACTAATCATTTTTTTATAGATGAGACTCTTCATCAATTTAAGTTGTCATAGTTGCATGTTTGTTTGGGCCTTGTTTGTTTTTTGTTCTGTTTTTTTATTGTTTTTAAAGAAGGTTGCATTCAGGCAGAATTGTCATTAGATCTGGGACAAAATAGGCCTGTGTGATACTGACAGCATAGATACACCTTCTAGCAGGGAAGATGGGGAGTGTGTGGGTGGAGAGGGTTGCATAAGCCTGCTTCTTCCCTCACAGCTGCATTCTCACCTTTTTTTGCATTGACTGACAAACGGGTGCAAGTTACAGCACTTTACTACTTGTGCCCATTTGTCTACAAACATGAAGTTCATATCTAGCATAGATCTTAACATGCATAATGCTTACTACCTTGCATAGTACCATTGTTGTCCAGTGAGTCTCCTACATCCTTGACTTTCAGCTGTTGCCCCAGCTAGGCTGCTGCAAAGGGCACAAAGAAGGTGTGTTTTTCCCCTGAGGTTATATACTGGCCTGCTCACTGTTTCTGTGAGTTTACCATCCAGACTCATCCCAGGGCAAGCTTTAGAGTGTTTAACAAAGGAAGAGGTGGATAAAATCTTTGCAGTTCAGTACCCTGGAGCTGACCTTTGTGAATCAGATACACAGCTGAGAGCATCCAGAAGAATACTTCTAGCCTATGCTTGCACCTAAATCGGCTCCTAGAAGCCCCTAAGCAGCAGGAAACACAAGCCATCTCCCCTTGGTGCCAGTACCATTGCCATCTGGTCCTGGGAGATTACCCATGGCAGCACCATTCCAGTGTCATTTGTAGGATCGAGCACCCTACCTGTAACACCTATACCCCATCAATGACACATATCGTGTCTCTTGACATAACTCCTTCTGTTCCCAGACTGTCTAGTAATACAACATTGGTACGCTATTTCTCATCTGCTTCACGGTTAGCATAGCCACAATATTACAAAGAACTGTTTTCACTATTACGATACACAATACTAAAAGTCACATTCATAATGCACGTGCTTATTTTTTTTTTTTTGTTGACTTTCCTATCTATTTTTTCTTCTGTTTTTCACATCTGTCAGTATTTTATTTCTTTGCTCATGTTCATGGTATAGATCTGATCTCTGGTTGCAGGAGGGTAAATTATTGACTAAAACGGGTTAGTCTATTAATAGGTATTAAGCATTAACACCAGTCTTTGTACAGCCTTGAAATATGCAGACAAATGTACTATGGTAGAAGAACAACAATGAATAAACCTGACATTAAAAAGTTTCTAATTTTTCTATTTTATTTCTATAATTCAGAGTTAAGACAAGCATGGTCCAAGCAGGTTTTTTTAAGTGGTGTCAACAGTTATTAATATACTGCTCATATACATTAGATCAACAGGGTAACTCCAGTAAAGAGATTCAGAAGGCCCTCTACCTTTGGCCAGAGCAGTAAATCATTGTTCAGCACATAGTACGTTATCTCTGTTAGGAGGAGAACATTTTTGGAAGGCTGGGCATTTATTTTGATGAAGAGACATTTTTTTCAAAAGCTAGAGAGAGAGCGCTGCTTCTGCTCTATCAAGTGTATAGCTTTGTATGTCTCTCTCATCATCTCTTCTGAAAAGCTCTCTGCTGACTCCCTCTAATAGCTATGTTACCAGTCTTGGCATGTGTTTTGAGCTGTGGTTCCTGTTATTCCATAAACAAAATACGGGCCATCTGGATCATACTCTTTAAATAGATTGTGACAGGAAAACAAGAAAAGTGCTTAGAAGCTACAAGCTTTTTGTAGAGGAATCCACTTCCAAATTAAAATCACAGTGAAGAAAAACTCATCTCTGTGGCATTCAAATTGGGCAACAAGGAGGAATAAATGTAATATTTCCCAAATGGAAAACTAGATGTACTCAAATTGTTTTCATTTGTCTTTGATTACTTCACTGGATCTATAGGAAACCCTGACAAAGGGTACTTTTCTACAGGTTCTTACAGATGTTTGTAATTCATATTGCTCTAGAGGCACTGCAGATCTTGCTAGGTCACAAAACAGTTTTCTGACAAAACCAGATCTTGCAGATTTCTTTCCTATAAAAATATACAGCAATGTATTTGGATGTAAATCCAAAAGACCTGACTTTAAAAAGAGAAAAAAAAAAAAAAAAGCATTCTTACACAGAAAGTTAAATTAGAATTATGAGGAAAAACTTCAGAAAATGGAAGTCATGATCAAATCAGGAAATACCCTCACCAAAAATAACAGCCCCACAACATTAAATCTCAAACTGTAATAAGAAAGGACCAGGACAACTTGGGGGAAAAAAAAAACCTTGCACAAACCATAGCATATAATAATGTATTCCTTTTCAAAGACTTCAGAAAGCTGTCAGAGAGCCTGAGGGGCCAGTAGATGTTCAAAGTATAGAAGAAGTGCTCAAGCTGGGTAATGGCAAAACAGAAAAGCTCAATCCATTACATGTGTACTTCCTTTGCAGTGGTTCAGCCTGGGCAACTATTTCAAGTTGAACTAATAGTAGAAGAATTTTTAGAAAAAAAATCAAAGAGCAACTAACAAGAAATTGCCAGGACTGTTTAGTATGCATGCAACAGCTCTTAGCTATCTCCAGAAGAAAAATGTTAAGCTTTCCTCTGTGATGCATTAGTCAGACTAGTCTCTATACCACAGTAATAAGAAGTGACAAATGTTACATAAGTTTTTTTAAAAAAATGCAAGTGAGCATGCAGTGAATTGTGGAACAGTTAGTTCAACTTTGGTATTTTGGAAACTGTAGAATTCGTAGTTGTATGGATAAGTACGACAAAATATTGAAGAACTAACATGACTTTACCAAAAGTTTCCTTGAAACAGTTGATATGTGTATGGGTTACAATGGTTTGATTGATATATGTCACAGTTCAGAAAAAAGATAAGATCCCTCAGTGAAGGATCTTAAAAAAAACCTAAGCTAGTAGGAGAGGGAAGACCCTTTATAAGCAAAAAGTTCAGGCATGTGTTATTCAGAGAGGTCAGAGATCATGTGGGAATTTAAGGGATTGAGAGGTGATACATTTTGCTGGTGGTCCCACCTTGTTAATGGGTAAGGATAGGCCACTGACTACCTCATCTACATGCTCAGTGCTAGACAAAAAGGAGACCAAACAGTGGGAGATACAGAGAAACACCAGTGTGCCCCTGTGCCATGATATTCCCACACCATAAACACTATGTGCAGCACTGGATACTGAACTAGATGAACCTTTAGTCTAAGCTAAGTGTGGTCATTTATATGTATTATAGGATAATGTTATTGGCGCATATACAGTGTACCTATGGGCTCAACTCAGAGCCCAAGCCTAAGTGTTTATTTCCTTTTGCCATGCCCGAGGCTGCCTGAGACAACAGTATGGGGCTGGCAGTTAAGAGCATTTCTATTTCCTCAATTAACAGCAACACTTCTATCAGTTCAGTGGTTCAGTAGGAAATAACTAAAAATCAAAGCCAGCTTATATGACTCAGTAGTTTAGGAGAATTCATTATAGATAAAGTTAATTTTTTGGGTAATTTACAAGGATTTTTTTATCACTTCTTTGTATGACTAAAGTAGGAGAATTTAGATTTGATCGTCTATTTGCAGTTTTGGTCTTTTTACAATCATTGCTCATACTTTTCACATGAATGCCTTGCTCTTTATCAGTGTACTTTCACAAAGACTCTGATCAGATCTGTCATTGTGCTTCACAAATTACCTCAGGAAGGATCTCAATAGTTCAGAGATCTCTGAAGAGCAGGGGTTTCTAAGTGTCACCTGTACTGTAATATTTGGGTGTTGGGTTTGGAGTTATAGTAATTATGAGTGTGGAGGCGAATTAGAAAAACAAACGTGTTTGTTAAGAGATTAGTTCAATCATCATTAGTAGGAGAGTTGGAGCATTCACAAAGGCTGGAGACCAGTTCAAACTGGTTTTCATAATCCACACCCACCTAAGTTCTACCAAAGGCATTAATTTAAAGACATTGCATCACCAAGGAAAAAAAAAAATACTCTCACTGGCTAATCAATGAACCTGAGAGTAGGACATCATCACCTAGAAGTTCTTGTGACCTGATAAACCTTTTTGCTCTCTACGTCTGAGCCCCATTCTTGCTGACCCTAGCCCTAGGAGTGCCATAATGCTCTACTGCTCTATGGAAGAAGTCACCTGGGTATTCTGTGAAAATCATTCTGGTCTTTCCCTGGTCCCCAAAACTTGACTTTTAATTAAGGATCTTGCTGTAATTCTTTTGGGAATACCTTCCTCCATGATTCTTCAACAGGGTCTATTGGCCGTTGCTCTCTAAGCTGATGGAGGGAGCTGGGGGTAGAGGCATGGTGAGCCAAGGTGATGAGAGTGGTCTGCAAATGACTGTGAGTGATGCGAAGGACAGAAAAAGAATGTCAGAACAGATATCAATATGCAGGAGCCAACATTAGACCAGGTATTGACTAGTTTGGAGTAGGGAAGTTTTGATCTGTACTGAAATAGTCACAATTCCAGTTTTCTTTTAAAACTAACAAATTTGAAATGCTTGTGTAATGACTGATTGCACAGAAAAATGGCTTTTTTCACTTGTCTGCATATTGATCTAGAGCAGGATTTTTTAAAAGCTGTGTGATATTGGCCTGAATCTTCTCCCAACATAGTTAAAAGCAGTGGCCAGAACAAAGCTTAATCTACGTTAAATCTGTTCAAAATAAAATTGAAACCTGCCTCCCTTCTGCATTTGTTCCCTGGTAGACTCCTCTGTTTGTACGCTCATTTTCAACAGAGCTGTTCTGTATGAGTAGAGAGACTGACAGGGAGTAATAAACAAGGTAAATTGCCTCTGTGGCTTGCAAGACCACTTTCTGGGTCCTTTCTTTGA